CGGGTTAAATCTCAAAAACACACAATTTGGCATAATGACAGTAAACACCACTGTTACTGTTGTTAAAACCAGAATCCCAGTACAGCCACCTTAAACTTCTACATGTAAGACGTAACTGTCTCACTTACAGGCTAAAAACAAGTCTCCACCTGGATTTAAGCAAACAGGTAGGAGCCTCCTATTGGATAATTACTGCTGCAACAAGTTATTGAACCCAACTGCTGCAGTAAGTTTCTTCTCATGTCTTAAACAACCATGTAAAAAGACACATCTGGTGGTCATGGAGAAGATGTTAGTCTGTGTGAGAAGGGTCAGATCTTTGGCATCAAGCAGAGAAAACATCTAAGGAGAACAGAAATGAATAAAACTGGGTTAAGAACTGTCCAACGCATTATTAAAACTGTTCAGTTGAGTCCAGATGGACCTGTTCCAGAGTGATGGTGCTTCAGGGTAATAAGAGAGGCAGATGAAGTGATGCACCCATCATGCCTAGTGCCTACTGTACAAGCCTGTGGGGGCAGTGCTATGATCTGGGGTTGCTGCAGTTGGTCAGGTCTAGGGTCAGCAACAGGATGGGCTCCAAGAATGAGGTCAGCTGAATATCCTGAATGACCAGGTTATTCCACCAATGATGTCCAGACCTTAACCCCATTGAGAATCTTTGGGATGTGCTGGAGAAGGCTTTGTGCAGCGCTCAGACTCTAGCATCATCAGTGCGTTGGGTGGAAATAAATCTGGTGACATTGTAGAAGCTCATTGAGACAACGCCACAGTGAATGTGTGATGTAATCAAAGTTAAAGAAGGTCCAATGGAATATTAGAGTGCAGGACTTGTTTTGGCCAGACAGTGTATATCAGCATTTTATAATCTATATTTATATATTGTTGTTTGTGATTTAAGTTTTATATATGTTAATAAATACTAATTTTCTGTAGCATCTCTGGATCTGGGGCCATGCAAGGATGCCTTGGCCAACCTTGGCCGTGTTAAGCTTGGTTTATGCTTGACGCATTCACTTTCCGCTTGGTGATGCGGCTCGCGGATGGAACGTGCTTCACAACTCGCAGCGTTTATGGTTCGTGCGGCTTGTTTCTGCGGTGAGCAGAGGTGGAAAGAGTACTAAAATGTTGTACCTAAGTACAAGTATAATTACTTTCATGAAATTTTTCTCAATTACAAGTAAAATTACCTGCCTCAAAATGTACTCAAGTAAAAGTAAAAAGTAGCTTATTTCAAATGTAGTCAGAGTAAAAGTTACTTAGTTACTTTTTTGACTGTGCAAGGACGGGCTCTTCTGAATAGTTAAAAAAAAAGACAATGGGGTATAAATGTCAAAGTGGCCGTTTTTTTAATTAAATGAACAAATATGCATATTGAAGTACAAAGGCAGTTACACTGCAAACTAGTAACATAAATTAGGTTATAGTCACAAGCCCATGACGTTTCCCTGAATGCTTATTTAAAGCAACTGATTTTTAAAGTTAGCAGAGTTCATCTTTGGTAGTGGGTTCACTCACTCATTTAAAGATATCGGCCAGAGGCAAAATTTGTTTGAACAGCATGTGTAAATGTGTATTAAAATCTCAGATGAAAAAGGTTTTTGGATGTTGACGGCTGGAATTGTAAGAAAATCTGATGTTTTTTTACTGGCGAGGGAAAAACAGAAACTAACTTCCGGTCTAAGCCCTGGGCAGCAGTTGACGTTTCACATGGAGCTCTGCTGAAACAGCTGTAGTAAACCACGCCTGGCTCCGGTGTTTCTGCGTTAGCGTTATAGCAGAGAACAATGTGTCATCAATCAGATGTAGCTTCTGAAGCCTCTGCTAGTCCATCAGATTTGTTTTTTCTCTGGGATACGGCGACGAGAACGGATGTTAGATTACTGGAGAAGTTCAACCGAACTCCGACCCCGCCAGCTGGATATCACTACCAGAGGTGCAGACATGTTTTAGACCGTTTGACTCAGAAGACCTGTGACCCGATTTGGACATAGAGGAGGATTCTGTTCATCTTCAGAGCCAAAATCGGTACAGTTTGTTTACTTTTCTTAAATATTTCATTTCTGTGCTCCACTGGGAGCTCTAAGCTGACAAGTTTTCAGCTGGTCTTAGCTCCATCATGTGTCCCAATATAGTTCAGTAATCTACAGTTTTACTGCTGTGTGTATTTATTGACATAACTCTGGAAAATAATGAACCTACAATTTACCAGAATAAATCTTCCTGATGCTGGAGTAACTCCTTAGCTCAACTCGTTGTTTGCACTAATCCAGGATGTCATGGAGGTTTTAATGTTGAAATATAGAGATCATCTTTTAGATTATATCTGTGTGTGTGTGTGTGTGTGTGTGTGTGTGTGTGTGTGTGTGTGTGTGTGTGTGTGTGTGTGTGTGTGTGTGTGTGTGTGTGTGTGTGTGAGTGAGTGCGTGCGTGCGTGTGTGTGTGTCGTAGCTTTCCCAAAGGACTTGTTCTTTCCTTACCGGAGCTAACACGGTTAGCAGTTTTGCTGCAGTCATGCTAACGGGACTCGTCTGGAGTCCAGAAGCAGCGGTGCGGTTCTAGATGGATTTATAGATGTAGGTTATTATTTTACCACCTGTTATTTAAAAATGTGTGTAGGACACAGACACATGGCTCAGACCTTTTGCTGCAACTGTAAACGCAATTTTACGTAATAATTAGGAGCATGAAAGTAAACAAATAACAGTGATTCACAATATTAGCATCAGCAGCTAGCTTGTTTTACGTGCTGGAGTGACGTATGCGAAACACAGTTCTTCACTGTCTGGAGGAGAGGATTTGGATTTTCTTTAATTATTTATGACAAAAGTCCTTAATAAAATAAAAAACTGGACCCAGTACATGTTTATATAGATAATAAAGTGTAGTTATTTTGCATTTCTACAATTTTAATGCCGAGCCAATACCTTTAACCCTTCACCACTGAAATCAGTTTGTTCATTCCAATCCTCCTAAATAATCCTCCAATCATCCAACTGGAATCCTTAAGGGTCCCGTAACGTCCATCCTGTCAGAACAGGCCTTGGGAGCCCAGGTGTTACTAGAACTAATGGTGTCTCCTCACCAGCGTGAGCCTCCAAACTGTGAAGGTTGGTCACCAAACAATGAACTTCAAATTCATGCATTACTCTCCTCTTGTAACACTTTAACATGTTTTAAAAGGCTTGTATCATGATAAGTTACACCTCCCAGACCAAAGATAGGTCCAATATAAGATAAAACATTATCATAAACAAAGCAGAGACATCATTGTTTATTAAATACAAGTTATTTTCCTGAGCCATTACTTCAGCCAAGATATTGGATGCATGGATTTGATGAAGCCATGCTGTCTTATGCAGTCCCACACACACGCACGCACGCACGCACACACACACACGCACGCACGCACGCACACACACACACACACACACACACACACACACACACACACACACACACACACACACAGCAGCATGTTAGAATCATGTGAATGACTAATTTAACTACACTGAACTGCTTTAGTAATAATTTAATCTCTTATTCTGGAGTAAAATAAAGAAACAAGCTAAATCATCACATATCTGTGGCATCAAGAAGCATCTTCTGAGTTCAAACACAGGGATGGAGCACAATGTTTACACCTGAACAGTATCAGGATTAACTCACAGAGGCCTGCAGGTCTTCTGTTTTATGAGCAGAGCGCTGATAATCGGCTTCTTAGGAGCGCTGAACGTAATTTTGCCGCTTCCGTGCGCGATAAGGAAACACATTTCAAACACGGAACCGAGTCTGGTTGCCGATTCGAGCAGAATTCTGATGACGTCACACCGGTGTGCGAAGGTTCGGGTTCCTACCCACAGGAGAGGAGGGAGAGAGGAATGCGAGTGGATCACAGGGACTGTACTGATGTTTTTGAGCAAAACTGCGGTAAAAATGGCTGTTTGTCCTCATCATAAAGCGTGTAGCCCCCCCCCCGGTTTAGACGTGGCGCTCATGCAGGTGTCTCTTTCTGTTCCGACACTGCTACACGTAATATTTTTAATTTATTAAGCCTACAATTTATTTTTACTCAGTAACGGATATGATTTAAAATGTAGCGAATTACAATTCTTTTTTAAAAACTTACTCAAGTAAAAGTAAAAGTACAGATTTTAAAAACGACTTAAAAAGTATAAATTTACAAAAAAGCTACTCAATTACAGTAACGTGAGTAAATGTAATTCGTTACTTTCCACCTCTGGCGGTGAGCCAATATTCTCCCAAACTGAACGGGGCAGCATGGAGCTCTACGGCATGCATCCAACACTACACCATAGTAGAAGTAGAAATTACTGTTTACAACATGGCATTTCAGCATTTTTAACAGCGTCCTCGTCTTTTCCGACAGTGCGAGCTATTTCTCTCCAAGAATTATTAACAACATGTTCATCACAGTAATCTCTGAGAGCTGAATCATACAAATGTCTGTATTTACGAACCTCTGCCATACTAGTTCTTGCCGGTCCGCCATGTTTTTCCGCGTCCGTCTGTCCGTCCGCGTGGTTAGAAATTTTTTTCCGAGAAGCGCGTTGCGGAAATTCTGGGCCGTGCGGAGGTGTGGTGAAGGGGCGTGGCGGTTAAAATGACGCAAAATGATGCAACTTTTCCGCGCGGAGCCGTGGGGACCTCGCGGACGCATCAAGCATAAACCAACCTTTAAACACATTAGCAAAGGGTTTCCAAAGGGGGGGGGGGGGGGGGGGGGCAGATGCTCTCTCCTGCCCCCTTGTAGATCTGCCCCTGACCCAACCAGCTGGTGCTACTTTAAACATTCCTCGCTGGTTTCATGTGCTTTCTTGTTTTTATTGTTTAAAGTAAAAATTTAGAGGTCATAAATAAACTATTTTCAGCTCTGCGTGGTGAGGCGAGTAGTCCCAGGCGGGAAGGAGGCTTCTTTCTGCTCCACGACAGCTGACGTCATCACAGCGAGTCCCGGCAGAACACGGCCCACTCAGCCGGTCCGATAAATAGCCGCAGCCTCTGCTCCGTTCCCCACAACACCAACCCCTCTACGGGCGCGCGGACTGGAGTCAGCATGTCTTCCCATGTGTCCTCCGAGTGTCGCCGGGTGACTCCGTCAGTCCACGGTAACCGGTTCGACACGGTGCACCGTAAGAGAGCCGTCGCCAACATTTTCGAGAACGTCAGCGAGGACGCGCTGACGAGACTCTTCAAGAAAACGGGCGACATGAAGGCGGAGGAGCGAGTGCGGAGCATCGTGTCCTACACGCACGACCCGGAGGAGAGGACCCGAGCCCTGATGGCGCTGAAACAGCGCAAGAAGGATAAATTCCTGCGGATCGCGGGCGTCGTGCGCCAGTGGCTCCTGCTGCGTTGACTGTGTCCTCCTCACAGCCTGGCTGTGTCTGACTGTCTGTCCCCATGGGAGCAGGCTGGGAAGACAATCCCAGTGTGTCTGGGGTTTGCGCCACTGCAGCGGCTCGTGTTTCCTACATGAAAGCTTCTGGTGGGCAGAAGAAGAGCGAAGGTCCTGGACGGACGCAGCTGCCTCGGAACGGAGGCTGAAGGCAGGGGGACCTGAGGCGGCTGGGACATCTCCTTAGGGCTCACGCATGTCTGCAGCTGCGTGAAGGAGAAGCAGCACCTTGTGCGGGTGCATGGGACAGTGGATGCTGCACCCAGCAGAAGGAAACTTTGGTGTGGAAGAACTGAAGTGTCCCGTAGTGAACACATGTCTGGTCTCCTACCCCCACTGATGTGCGACCACATCTCTGACCTGTTCAATAAACATCCTGTTTGATATGAAATAGCTGAA